TGAACCCACGCTAATGACCATATGCTAATATGTAAAATCACGCCTTGTCCTAATTCTTCATGGCTGTGCCTTAGCTTTTCTCTCCAACTATACTAGGAGGCTCCTGTAAGCCGGTCATATACTTCTCTCACACCTTCACGTGGTGCAGACATGAAATGCAGATGTGCTAAGTGCTTCGGTACTGGGGGAGGGACTTTCATGGGGAGAACTCCAGAAATCTTGTGCGCTAGGGAACCGAATGGAAGAGGGACAATGTTTCCAAACTGAAACAGACTTATGTACATCTCTAGTTAAGCCAACGGTTTTCTGAGCATGGCCTGTGCTATCTTGGGGAGAATCATGTCATACATTCTCTTCTTAAAGCATTCCAAAATGCTTCAAGAAATAGTCTGACTTATTCAAGATTAAAAACTACAACTTTAGCCAGATCCTCAGACCTCCTGGGCCAGCTGTGGTAATTAGTCATCAAAACAAATTAGCTCTTCCAGACCGTTCGCCCAGGGCCTCTCCTGCTATAGGGAGAGAAACTAAGCAGAACCAGTGAGCCTGGTAAGAAGCTGCCCTGCGCTGCCCCGTGGCTTTGGGGGCTGCCTACGCTGAAGAATGAGCCACAGGCAGCACGACCGAGAACTTCCGCAAGGCGGAGCAGTCTGGTTTGCCCACCAGACAGCCTCTACGCATTCTTTCAGTACAGCTAATACCGCTGATGAGCAGTGGGGTATAGGGGGCAGAATCTGCAGCCAGGCCACCAGATTCAAACCACTGCTCCACCACTCACTGGCTGTGTGAGTCAAGTCCCTGGAACTTCTATTTCTTCATCTGAAAAGCGCTAGCTATAACAGCTCCCAAGGCTTACAGTTTTTATGAGGATTAAAAGGTTTTAAATTATTATAATGCTCAGGACGATGCCTGGCTATAAGCATTATGCAAGTGTTTGTTAAATAATCTTTAATCATAGTTATGTGTGTGTGTGTGTGTGTGTGTTTGTTGAGCGTTTGTAGGAAATTTCTAGAGACTGGGAAAATAAAGATGAACAAGACAGGCCTTTCCTTTGATAAACTCAGTTTACTTCACGTAGACTGGTTTTAACAGCTCCAGTAGGAGTGTTGGTGGTGTGCTGAGGGAACACGCGGGGGGCAGGGTTAACTCCGCCCAGTGTAACAGGGAAGGCTGCACACAGCCTTCCGTGATTTAGGATTCAAGGTGCACTGAGAGGTCCTTTACAAAAGGGGCTCTCAACCTGGCCTTGCACTTGTATCTGGAAGGTTAAAACCCAGATTCCCAAGCCTCACCCCCAGAGTTTTTAATTCAGTAGGTCTGGGTGGGATCTGATCATCTGCATTTCTAGTAAGTTCCCAGGTAATGCTGCTGCTGGTCCAAACACCCCTCTGAGAGCCACTGCGTTTCGGAGTCAGGAGCACGGGCACAGAGGCGGGACTGTGAGACAGCCTGGCCGGCTCAGGGCAGAGAGCGTCGTTGGCATGATCGGATCCGAAAGCAGTGATGGAAAATGGCAAAAGAGGAGATGGAAAAAGGAGGCCAAAGCTGATCCCAAAGCGAAGAAACTTGGAGCGAATCCTGTACACTTGGGGAGCTTTGGGAGTTCACAGCCTTGAGTAACATCATCAGTTTGTGTTTCCAAACCATCACTTTGGCATCACCATGGGAATGGACTGGAACAGAGGGAGACTAGAGGAAGGGAGAACAGTTTCTCTTTGCTAAAATCAGAGAAAGATCTTTTTGACAACAACTATGTCTGTAAATGTTAGGATACTTGGTGGTATTCTAAGTATGTATCTTTGTAACATCTTTAACACCAGGATGGTGAATGAGAGCCATGACCTACATTTTTAATCTAATTGTGATATGTGTATTATTATTAATCTATCTGGTTTTATGATTTTTAGAACCTATCTTTGCAAAAATAAAATACCCTACAGGGTTATAACTTAGTATCATCCATGGGTCTAAAAAATATATTATGGCCCTGGCCGGTTTGGCTCAACGGTTGGAGCTTCAGCCTGCCGACCAGGGAGTCCCGGGTTTGGTTCCCACTAAGGGCACGTACTTCGGTTGCAGTTTGTTCCCAGACCCAGTTGGGGTTGTGTGGGTGGCGGCCACTCAATGTGTCTCTCTAGCATCGATGTTTCTCTCTCTCTCTTCCTCCCTCTCTCCTTCCCGCTCTATCCGAAGATAGATGCAAAGGTGTCCTCAGGTGAGGATACACATATACATAGTATGTCCTGAAATAAATAGAAGTGATTGGTTATCAGTCTATTTCCTTGAGCCATCTTATTGAGGACTTAATCATCCATTGGCTTTTTGGGGGATCTTGCCATCTGTGAATGGCTCATTGGTACTTTCTGAATCCATTGTAACCCTCTTGCAGCCATTGAAAAACATGCAGTACCAGCTGATGATAATCAGAAGAGACTGCACATTGGAAAGGCATCATGGCTTACAATATAGTATTAATGCTTTAATAGTATTGAACATTTATCCAGTCAATCCCAAATTTTCCCACTACATTTAGAACACTGCTGCTTTAGCTTAATAAAGGGCACAGCTTTTCTAAGCGACAGGCAGGAAGGTCTCCATAGAGACTGCTACTCTTCTGAAATATGAAGTACTGCCTAACACTGCTTCACAACTAACAGGTGGTCAAAACGGAAACTACCTCTTTTCGAAAAGCATTCGATAATTTAAAATATGCATAGCAAAAGACTGAAAAGATACTGACTACTATGGTAATGGTGATTTTTATGAATTTCTCTATTTCATGTAGTATTAAAGTTAACCAAAATAAGAAAGAGAGAGGGAGAGAGTCCAGAGCATAAACAATGAGGCCAGAGCTGGTGCAGGTGCAGTGAGATAAGAGAGGAACACAGAAATATTAGGGCACAGAATTGAGCAGATGTGCAGAGGTCTGTATGGGATGTGAGGGAGATGGAAGGGTTAAAGGTTTTCCAGGCCGACCAGCTCTGATACCAGGATGGAGGAGGTGCTATCAACTGAAAAAGGAATGCAGGTGCTGGAAGAGAGGTGGGGAGAAGAGAACATCATAAATTCCACGTACAAGGATTCTGAGGCATCCAAGATAGCCATTAGGCGGCTGGAAATCCAGGTCTGGAGCTGAGCAAAGAAGTCAGCAGTAGATAAAGATCTGAGCACCCCATGAGGTATGAGGTCCAGGTTAGAATCAAGCCCTGGGTAAGATAGCTGAGGAAAGAATTGGGACACAAACTGGATTCACCTTTTTAAAGTGGATTCAATGATTAAAAGCAAGCAGGGAGAATGAGAAAGGGGTGCAGAAGCTGAAACCTGGCGGGAGTCAGCAAAGATCTTACAGCATCCCGGTGGAGCGCTGTCATCTTTCTAGCATCACAAGCTCTTCCAACCTCACCTGCAGTGAAGGGAAGGTGTCTGTGCCAGTCATTGTCTGTTCTCAGGCCCATTAACAGCCCTTCCTTGTTAGCCTGACCCCTGCAAATTACATTTCTCAGGCTCCTTCGCCAACTGGCTTCTGCCAGAGAAAGGCACTAGCAGGAAACTGGGGGAGGAAGGCAGAAAAGCCAGATTATTCCTCCCCCTTTCCTTCTCCACCACCCAACCCCATCTCTGCCTTCTGTGGCTTCTCGTCAGACCTGTGCCTCTGGTTCCCACCAGGTACCCAGCTCCTGGGGTCTGGGAGCATTCCCCTTCTCCCTCCAGCTTGGTTGGGTGGGAAGGAGCAGCTTGCTGCTGTTGCTGCTCATCTCTGTGTTGACTCACCAGCCCATTTGGCTTTCCAGCTCTTCCGACACCTCACGACTAGCTCCCCTATGAACTTCCTCTATTAAACTGGCTGGTGCAGGCTCTGTTGTCCTGGTAGGTCCCTGACTGATAAACATATAATGATAATATGTCAGCTTCTCTCCCTACGACTTGTTTTGAGCTTCAGAATCCTATTCAGGCTGGGATTGCCCAAGTTCATATTAACAAAGCCTTCTATTTAAAAGTTAAGGGAAAATTAATTTTAAAAGAGGCAGTAAGTAAAGATAAAAGCTGAAATAAATAGTAAAACATAAGGCAGAAGAATAATAAATTAGTTCAAATGCTGTTTTTTAATAAGACCACTAAAGTAAACAAACATCTGACAAATATAATTAAGAAAAGGTTTTTAATTAAAATGAGACTGGAGATAGGACAAAGTCAGAAAATAGTGTTTTTGCCCCCAAATCCAAAGAGAATGTGATGCACACTTGTAGGCTGATAAACTAAAATCCTCAATGAAATGAATAAGTTCTAGAATAATATAGTTTACTTAAAATGACTCAAAAATTATAAATCTAAACAGAATAAGGGCCAAAAAAGAAACTGAGGAAATTTCTGATAACATTAAAAAAAAAAAAAACGCAGCTAGTCCCAATGTTTGCACCAGAACAATTTTCATGCTTTTAAGAAACAGATGATTTCGCCCTGGCCGGTTTGGCTCAGCGGTTACAGCGTCAGCCTGCGGTCCAGAGAGTCCCGGGTTCAGTTCCCGCTAAGGGCACGCACCTCGGTTGCAGTTTGTCCCCGGCCCTGGTTGGTCGTGCGGGTGGCAGCCACTCAATGTGTCCCTTTCACGTCGATGTTTCTCTCTCTCTCTGTTCCTCTCTCCTCTCCCACTCTACCTGAACAAAAAATGGAAAAATGTCCTCGAGTGAGGATAAAAAAAAAAAAGGAAGAAAAGAAAGAAACAGATGATTTCGATGTTGGATAAAACATCCAAAGTGCAAAAAGAGATCAGAGTACCTTTATGTCCATTAGGCAAGCATGATCTTCTTCATAAAGCCTGATAAAGATAAAACACACAAAGAGAACATTATGGGCATACAGCACAAATGAATATGGATAGGAAAAGCTTAAGTGAAATCCTCACCTCTAAAAAGGAACTTGTTTTACTGTACTACTTCAGATCTTTAGAGGAAAGATACTTTTTTATAACAGCTTTACTGAGATATAATTCTTGCACCATAAAAAATGCAGAACATTTTACGAATGTGTGTGCCATCCTTGCACAGGGGCCAGGCTAATCTTCCCTATATCGTATCAATTTTAGTAAATGTGTTGCTAAAGCCAGCCCAAGGATGATAACCTTAGACGTTGAAAGAAATACCAAAGGATGGACAGTTTATACATTATAGAAGTAAATAACCATTTGACAAAACCAGTATGCAAGGGAAAATATTATCTGGAGGAAGCTTTCACAGCAAATCTAAAAAGGGTTCATTTCTATGTTATGTAAAGAGTTTATACATGTTTGCCCTGGCCTGTGTGGCTCAGTTGGTTGAGCATAGCCCCATGCAACAAAGGTCATGGGTTCAATTCCCAGTCAGGGCAGATGCTAGGGTTGCTGGCTTGATTCCCAGTAGGGGGTGTGCAGGAGGCAGCCGATAGATGTTTCTCACATCGATGTTTCTCTCTCGCTCCTTTCCTCTCTTTCTGAAGTCAATAAAAACACATTTTTAAAGAAAAGAGTTCGTACATGTTGATGCAAAAAAAAATTAAGTAGCCAATTGGTAAACTCACAAAGAACATAAGCAGATAATTCATGAAATCAGAGAAACCATTAGTAAAAAAACACATGGGAAAATGTTCAACTCTGCTTGTAATCAAAGAAATGCCCACTCAAATGACACTGTAGCATCTTGTACCCACTCCATTAGAGGAATTTTAGAAATGATCCAGTATTATAACACTGCAATAAACTAGTCTACTCACACACTGTAGGGTAGCCATATAAATTGGTATCATCTCTTGACAATTCATTTCAGGAATTATCTCAAAATTCCACAGTACCCCTTTAGCCTAAGAAATTTATAAATGAAAAATAAAACTACATGAAATTTTCATTGCAGCGTCCCTCTAACAACCTAAATCAATATATAAAAGATGATCTAAAGGTAGTAACAGAGGAATTCTTAAGGAAGTGTTATGAATCATTATTTATAATTATAATAAAAATTACAATTTATCAAGCACCCTTACATACTTAACTGCACATTCCCAGGAGATAGGTAAGAGTTGCTAAGATTCAGAAAAATGAAGTGACTTACACAAAACCACACAACCAGTGGCTCTCAAATGCCTCCTACCAAGTCCACGATCTCTTGATGTTAAAGGTGCGATTAGAAATATCTGCCCCGAGCCTCAGTTCCATCATTCATAAAACAGAGCTCAGAGGAGTACTGAAGAGTGCTTATGAGGACTAAATGCAGTTCTTAGCACAGGGTGTGGCACAGAGCAGCACTCAATCAATTAAAAATAATGATAAGGCAAAACTGAATCCATTCAATGTGATTACAGCAATGTAAACATCTGCAAATGGATGAGGACCAGCAAGAGAAAGGAATAATGAAAATGGCTACTAGGTGAGCAAGGCAAGAGTATAGACAACTTTTCTTTTTGAAATTATTTTGTTTTTGGTACAAGTAGAAATCTGGAGAAAAACAAAATTAGAATATACCAGAAAAGTCTCCTAAAATGGATTGGCATCTTTAGGGGAGCTTAATATTAACTTGAAATACTAAATCCAGTGCATATCTCCCCTGGAGATGCTGTGTGGTGTGGGGGACCAGCCAGCGGATGGCGCTGTTTTACTTGCCCAAGGGATTGAGAAGGCATTTATTGGCCTCAATAATATACTAGTGCTAGTTTTACAGTCTTCCTTAAAAATTAATTCTTTTTCTTCTTAAAACTGAGGCTCAGAAATATCTCAAGAAAATCTCCAGGTAGTTGGGAAATGGGTCCAAGGTCACTCCTGGTGAACAGCAACATCCCAAGGGAGCTGCTCTGTGGTGAGCACCATCATCTCAGGACCAAGGACAGTGTGGTTACTTTTCCCTTTGGTCATGTGACTAGGATCTACCATCCATGGGCAGGAAAGACTTAGCCGGTGTCAGCCCCAGATTTTATTTTATTTCATTTTATTTATTTATTTATTTATTTATTTATTTATTTATTGTTACAGATGTTTCTCCTTTTTTACCCCATTGACACCCTCCTCCCCATCCCCCCCACCCCAACCCCGGCTTTGTTGTCCATGTCCATTGGTTATGCGTACATGCATATAAGTTCTGTGGTTTATCTCTTCCCTCCCCCCACCACCCCCTCTTCTGAGGGATGTCAGTCTGTACCCTACTTCCACGTCTCTGGGTCTACCCTATTCCTCAGACTGTTATGTTCATTATATTCCACAAATAAGTGAGATCACGTGGTATTTGTCTTTTTCTTCAGCCTCAGATTTTAACCTATAAATGGAGAACAATTCCAGCCACCAGACAGGCTTCAGAGTAACAAGGGAACGCGCTACAGGCATCCTCCAGTGTCTCCCCCATAAGACAGCCAGGCCTGAACAGCTCCACCCAGGACAAGGGCATCAGTGGAAGTTTCTCCACTCTCAGCTCCTGGATTGTCACAGGCTTGAATCGTGAACAACCGCCTACATGAGTCAGAACGTATGCGATTAGCCTGTGAGCTCCAATAAAAGAAGTGACAAGTTCAGCAAAGGATATAAATTCAGAAGAGAAATGTCAGGGGATGACACAGAACCTCGCATAACCAGAGGCTGAATCACACTGAGCTCAGACTCATATGTCCAAACACCACTCCACTTGGGATGTCAAATAGGCTTCTCAAATTTTATGTGTCAGACACGAAGCTCCAGGTCTTTACTCTCACCTGTCCTCCCTGCTGAACGCCCTCCCATCTCAGACAACAGCAATGCTGTGCTTCTCGGCTGGGGTCTCTTTGACCTCACTCTCTCTCCATCTCACATCTAATCCATCAGAAAATAGGCTGTATCTTCAAGATACACCCAAATCCCTCCTCTTCTCATCACCTCCACTATCTCCACCCCCGTCCAAAACATCGCCATTGTCTTACCTGTCTTCTTGTTACAGCCTCTTAACTGGCCTCCCGCCTCCACCTGTGCCCACCATTCACTCTTTCCAGCAGGCAGAGGGATACTCCTCAAACCAAAGGGGGAGGACACCTTAAAGAAAAAATCCATGGAAGAACTAATAAATCAGATTTCACCAAAATTAAAAAACTACCCTGCCAAAAATATTGTTAAAATAACAATAATAACAATAAGCCACAGACCAGGAGACAGTGTTCACAGAGCATATATCTGGCAAAGGACTTGTATTCAAAATATGTAAAGAACTCTCAAAATTAAAAAATAAGACAATAAACAATCTAATTTAAAATCTGGGAAATGATTTGAACAAACATTTCACCAAAAAAAAAAAAAAGATATGTGGATGGCAAGTAAGAACATGAAAAGATGCTCAACATGAATAGTTATTAGAGAAATATAAATTAAAACCACAATAAGATATCTCTACCCAGCTAGTGTATTAGAAATACTAAAATTAAAATAACTGATTGTGCCGTGTGTTGGCAAGGATGCAGAACAACTGGATCTCTCAAACTGGCAGTACAATGTGAAATGGTACAACCACATTGGAAAAGAGCTCGGCAATTCCTTTTATTCCCCAAATTCTCACTCTAGGATATTTTTCCATTTATCTTCATATAGAGTGTGTGTTTGTGTGAGAGAAAGAGAGAGAGAGAGAGAGAGAGAGAGAGAGAGAGAGAGAGAGAGAGACATCGATGTGAGAAACCCATATTTTTCCATTTATCTTCAGATAGAGTGTGTGTTTGTGTGAGAGAAAGAGAGAGAGAGAGAGAGAAACATCGATGTGAGAAAAACCCATTGACTGGTTGCCTCCCGCACAACCCCTACCAAGCCCGGGACAAAATCACAACGGAGGAGTGTGCCCTTGACCGGAATTGAACCTGCAATTCTTTGGTCTTCGGGCCAACACTCTAACCACTGAGTCAAACTGGCCAGGGCGAGTTGGCAATTTCTTAAAATGTTAAACCTACACACACCATATAATATTACCATTACACTCCTAGGTATTTACCCCAGAGAATAGAAAGTACATGCTCATACAAAGATTTGTACAGGAATGTTCATAGCTTCATTTTTATTTTTTATTATTATTTTTTTTTACGTCTTTTTTCTTTTTTTATTAATTATTTTTGTTACAGATGTTTCTCCTTTCCCCCCCCACTGTTTCCCCCCTCCCCCTCCCTCCCTGCCCTGTCCTCAGTTTGTTGTCCATGTCCACTGTTCATGCATACATGCATATAAGTTCTGTGGTTTATCTCTCCCCCACCACCCCCCTCTTCTGGGGATTGTCAGTCTGTACCCCACTTCCACGTCTCTGGGACTACCCCATTCCTCAGACTGTTATGTTCATTATATTCCACAAACAAGTGAGATCATATGAAACTTGTCTTTCTCTGTTTGGCTTGTTTCACTTAGGATGATACTTTCCAGGTCCTTCCATGTAGTCTCAAAGGATAAGAGATCTTTCTTTCTTATAGCTGCGTAGTACTCCATTGTGTATATGTACCACTGCTTTTTTATCCATTCGTCTACTGATGGACACTTGGGCTGTTTCCAGATCTTAGCTATTGTAAATAGTGCTGCTATGAACATGGGGGTACATATATTCTTCCTGATTGGTGTTTCAGGCTTCTTAGGGTATATTCCTAGAAGTGGAATCACTGGGTCAAATGGAAGTTCAATTTTTAATTTTTTGAGGTAACACCATAGTGTTTTCCATAGTGGCTGCACCAGTCTGCATACCCACCAGCAGTGCACTAGAGTCCCCTTTTCTCCACACCCTCGCCAACACTTGTTGTTTGATGATTTGTTGATGGCGGCCATTCTGACAGCTTTATTTTTAATAGCCAAAAATGAGAAACAACTCAAACATCTAGAGAAACTGGATAAACAAATTGTGATATGCCCATTCAATGGAATACTACCTAGCAACATAACAGAACAAACTATTGATACAAAATAGATAAATCTCAAAATAATTATGCTGTGGAAAAAGAGACCAGAAAAAAGAAAAATGCATACTCTATGATTCCACTTATATAAAATACTAGAAAAAAACAAACTAATGTTTAATGACAGAAAGTTGATCAGTGGCTACATGGGGACAAGTCACAGGGAAGGGGGAGGCGAGGAACAGAAGGGAGAGATTACAAAGAGGCATA